TTTCTAATATCACTAACTGCACTCTGGATATATCAAACTATGAAAATGTCCCTTCTTGGGGTTTCTAGCGTATTGAATGGTATATCTGTGTCATGTGGCTCTCCAGACTGATGGCTGGTTTGTACTCTGAATAGCGAAAGTGATGGGCACAGTAGGAGAGGGTGATCAACATTATTTTATGATTTGCAGCTCCAAACTTGCTCATTATGTGAAAAGAAATTGGTTTTATAGTAAAAGTGCCCTATATTTTCTCCTTCTGTGGGTTAAATAGACTGAGCTCATTTTACGTCTCTTATGCTCCAGAGATCTAGCTAGTCTCTGCATCCTAGCACCAATGCAATTTAACATTTATATGGAATTAATGCCTGGTGAGCAGTTAGACTTTCCCGCAAGACTAAATTACAAAGACTTTAAAAGGGTAATGGGGATGAAACTGGCATGAAGATACACTTCTTCAAACAACAGGATATGTAACTGAATAAGTGGCAAGGTGACAACCTGCTTCTTTGTTTTCTTCTGTTTTCAAGTAGATTATTTTTAGTACAGTATGGTAAATAGGAGAAAGATAAATACAACCTATGTGATTTGTAAAGACTACACCCTGTTTTGAAAGTGTCCACACATTGGAGAGATACTTTAAGCCCACCTTCTTCTTAAATCCTACCTTTTCTTTGTGCAAACTACTATACCAGTTCTTGAAGGTTGTATTGAAGGGGAGCTATGTGTCATTAATCCTAGCTTGTAAGGACTCCAGTGAGGAAAAAAAAATAGAAATGTAGTTGTAAAATATTATAATAACAGTAAAGTGGCGAGCTGGTGACCAGATATGATTATTGCACGACATCCCTTAAAATTGCAAATATTCAATAGAGAAGATAGGACTTTAAGGGTGCATGAACATGAATACCAAACATATTAAAAAGTTATATAATTTGTATTTCGTATTTAAAAAAAAAAAAAAACAACAAAAAAAGGAAAAAATACAGAAACATAAAAACAATTTCAGTACTAAGAGTGAAATTGAGATTAAAACTTGATTATATAATTATAGTTACTCCCTACATGTTTTGTCCTCACGGGCTTCTTCAGGGGTGATTTTTGAAGAGATTTCAACCGCTGAGAGAGTCTAAAGGTATATCAAAGGAAAATTATACAATTACCAAACAACTTTAATATATCCAATACAAAGTATTTAATCAAATATATATATATGGGACTCAATGGCTCACCCTGGGTGAGCCATTGTGTCCTATATATATATTTGATTAAATACTTTGAATCTCAGTTTCTGTATTTTTTTTTCCTTTTTTTTTTTTTTTTTTTTTTTTTTAAAAATACGAAATAAAAATTATATAACTTTTTAATATGTTTGGTATTCATGTGCATGCACCCTGAAAGTCCCATCTTCTCTATTGTAAAATATATTTTCTTTCTTACTCTTTTTTCTTCTTCCAACTGGCTTCTCATTTCAGCATTCACAACTGCCATTTGATTGTACAGTCACCTGCAGTTCTACCACCAACTATGTAGTTCAATGGTTTGCTCGATTTAATGCAAATTGAAAGGATTGTTTTGGTTTTCCTCATATTACATAGTTTGGAAAATCTAAAGGAAAACTTACAGACATTGTACAATCATATTCTGTAGTATTTGACCAAATTTAGACTGTCAACAGATGGGCAAATAACACACTGCAAACAACAGACAGAGAGGAATCACCGGAGTGCTAGAACTCAGCCTGTTTCTTTTGATGTTGACAGTGGCACATGTACGGTAGCTACAAGATGGTAGCAAACATTTAGAGGTAATTAGCAGGCAAAAAGTGCAGTTGGCTCATAGGAGAGGAACACCATCTTGCAGGCTCAGGAGAAATTGGGTATAGGCACCACAAATCCAAGCTGGTGGACTACGAAAGCACGGGAATACAGCACTAGAATGTAGCTCCTTAGACACTTGAAGTGATCTCTGTAATAGTGACAAAACAAAGGGCACCAGCATAATACTAAACAAAATATTTCTTTAGCAATTGGCAACTCACATGTAAAAAGAAAGCCAAACGCTTGTCACACACAGTGCTGTTGAGTCTCTGCATTCAGGAGATCTAGAGGTCCAGCCCGGTAAGAGATCGCTGGAAGAATAAAAACACTTACTAGAAGGAAGTGTAAAGTCAGCTTGTCAGTCCCAATATTAGATGTCACGCTTTTCCTCCTGTGAGGGATGTAGTCCTCAAACAGTGCACCGACCAGTGGTGCTGAAAAGAGGATAGCCACTAGGAACGTCCGGGACCATGCTTGAGTCAGAAGTGATGTCAAGGGAGGGTAGTAACGCATTTCAGAGCATGAGCAATTGCTCCTTCTTCAGACCTGATGCCCAGAACACTAGACAGCAATTCAAGAAGTGATGGGAGGTTTTGCTGGGGTGATATTTTGCAGAGCCATTTCAGTTCTGGATAATGGAACCATACATTAGGTGATATCCGTTAACACAAAAACTGCTACATATACAAATGGGTGGGGCTTTCGGAGGTGAAGTCAACATGTGGTACGGATGGGCTTTCGGCGTTAGCAGTGACCAGAGTCTACCTGTTTATATATGCTGATCATACTAGTGTCGGTGATGACACTGTATAATGTGAGTGTGATGTGGATTTTTTAAAGAGAATAAAGCATTTTATATGGTTTTACGCTGTGGAGTTCCCTCTTTCTTTCCTTCCATATGGTTCCATGTATATGAGTCAGGATTGTCCAGCTAAGTGGTTATAGGAGTCATTGATATCTCCGCAGATCGTTGCTCCCAGAGCCACTGTGCAGTAGCTGGTTTATAATTTGACCAGCTTGGAGCTCTGGTGAGTTTTTCCAGTTTGATTGGTGGTGGATAAGCATGGTGTGGTGGTGTTTGTTTTAGGACACACAAGAATGAAAATATATATAATATATATATATATATATACTGTATATATATATATATATATACTATATATATATATATATATGAATTGGAGGACTTTTTTTTTTTTTCTTGTACCACGGGACATCATAGACCAGCCTTTCTCAAGCAGGGTGCCCTGGCACCATGGGGCTTTTTCAGGGGTGCCTTGGCAAAATGCCGAAAAGTTGTATACAAGCCAGCAGGTGGATCAATCCTGCCTTTTAGTACACAAAGCCACAGGTTTTCATTGTGCACTGATATGACCTTCTAGCTGCCAGCATCCTAACAACCAATGACATCGTCAGTTGATAAGGAGGACGTCGGATGCATGCACATCATGCTTGTTTGGCCCTCCCCTGCCCCTCTCCGTCAGCACTGGGGTTACATTAGCAGAGTGAGGGAGAGAAAATGAGAGAGACACACTGGAATACTAATCGGTACCAGTGTACAAAGGTGTATTTGCTTTGGAAAAATAAATCACCTCTAATGTTGGGTGTACTGGATGTGTGTAGAATAGCTTTTTTACATTTTAGATTGGGGTGCCTTCAGAATGTTAAAGGGTGCCTTGGCTGAAAAAAGGTTGAGGAACACTGTCATAGACTATTAAGATATAGACATTGTTTTGTGCAAATATAATTATTGTTATATATATTTGTTGTGTTTTGCACATATAATTATTGTTATATATTTTTGTATTAATTAGCACATATATACCCATGTTTAATGATGGGGGTGTTCTATGATTGTTAGATTTATTAGAATATGGTAATATTGGTTGGATATATACAATATTTTATAGGCTTTGCATATAGTACTTTGTTTGGTTTGCATTTTTTGCACTTTTGGAATTTTTTTAATTTGAATATAGTGATGGTCTGTATATTCATGTTATAAGTATATGGATAGGGTGTTGGGGAGCGCCGCTTTAAATAATTTTTCATAGACAAATATGCAGCATATACAAAAACAATTATTTAAAAATGGTTAAAATCACTTGGTTTGACATAAAAAAATGCAGGTAATGTCTAAACACGTAAAACCCACAAATAACCTTAAAATTTGGGTCATTGATGCTGAGAGAACTCCTTGTAGCTCAATATTTTCAGAAACTTTGCCAGAGAGAAACATTCTGGATATATGCCCATGATGCTCTGTCCCCTAGTGGCCTTAATGAGGAATTAGAAATTAACACCATTTTATAGCTAATTTATCTGTGATTACATTTTTTTATATCTCATTCTATATATATTTTTAATTCCAGGTTTAATACTTTTATTCTCCACTTTATATAATTGTATAATTTTTGAAATTCTACATTTGAGTAATCCTTCACAGTAAGTCTAAGCACATAGATAAGCTAGTCCTTTGATATTGTTTTAGCCTGTTATATTCCACTGTGTTAGGGTTTACCTAGGAAAAATAGCGATTGCTTTGAAACGCATAACCACCCCCTTGACATCACTTCCAGTTGTGTTCCAGTGTGGTCCCGAAAGTTCCTAGCAGCTATCCACCACTCAGCACCACTGGTTGGTGCACTGTTTGAGGACTACATCCCCCACAGGAGGAAAAGAGGGATGTCTAATATTGGGACTGACAAGCTGACTTTACACTTACTTCTAGTAGGTGTTTTTATTCTTTGTGTCATAATAAATTTATTTCCATGCTTATTGCACTTAGAAGCACCTTCTTTCTTTCCTGTAATGTGGTTTTCAAGGATTTCAACTTCTGATGAATGGCACTGTAAAAATGTACTGTAAAATGTTTTATCCTGCAAACCATGAAAAATGCAGAAGAGTAAATGTAGTACTAGTTTCTGTCTTTACTTCTTTCCACAAGACTAAATTGTGACATCAATAAATTGCTGTTGGGTTTTGTAATTGTCATGGCAGTTAACCAGGATTAGAAATTGTGATAGGGGTATTTAGCTATACCAGTTCCTTTGAACTGTTGGCTTGATGATTCAATATGTTTGCAGCAAAAAAAAATGTGTTAGCAGTTATTATCTACCTGTAACTCTATGTTCATGATCTCTTCCATTGACATGAATGGTGATTTCAGTGCTGTCAATGACATCTGCACTGAAGCAGAACTTTGATATTTTGGTTTTGCATTTCTTTAATAACCACCCAGTATGGATAATGAAGTCTGAAGCCTGTTTGCACCTTCACATTAGCATTGGATGTTTTTTCCCATGAGATTAATCAGGGGTGGACTGACCATTCGAGCACTCGGGCACTGCCGAGGGCCCGGGGTCAGTAGGGGGCCTCATGAAATGCCCCTGGTACCTTTTATAGGCTTTTTTTGGGTGTGCTTTGAGTGTGGGCAAGGACACAGGGGCCCCATGATCCCCTATTGCCTGGGGGCCCCATGAGTTGTCAGTCATCTAATGCACATGGTTGAGGCGTGGTTAACACAGGCGGTAAGGAAGTGTCACATTGATTCCTCACCACCTGTCACTAGCCTCATGAATTGGACTTCAGAGCAGGAGCGAAATGACCATTCGAGCACTCGGGCACTGCCCAAGGGCCTGGGGTCAGTAGGGGGCCCCATTAAATGCCCCTGGCACCTTTTTTATAGGCTTTATAGACTTTTTTGGGGTGTGCTTTGAGTGTGGGCAAGGACACAGGGGCCCCATGATCCCCTATTGCCCGGGGGCCCCATGAGTTGTCAGTCATCTAATGCACATGGTTGAGGCGTGGTTAACACAGGCGGTAAGGAAGTGTCACATTGATTCCTCACCACCTGTCACTAGCCTCATGAATTGGACTTCAGAGCAGGGGCGAACTGACCATTCGAGCACTCGGGCACTGCCCAAGGGCCTGGGGTCAGTAGGGGGCCCCATTAAATGCCCCTGGTACCTTTTTATAGGCTTTTTTGGGTGTGATTTGAGTGTGGGCAAGGACACAGGGGCCCCATGATCCCCTGTTGCCTGGGGCCCCATGAGTTGTCAGTCCGCCCCTGCTTCAGAGGAATGGTAGATTTAGATTCAGGTCTAAATCTACCCTACAACCTACTTGATCAGGACAACAGAAACAGGACAGAACTGCCAGAAACTCCCCCTGTACTCTTGTTTATAACATAGATGAGCAAGTTGCTATGGTTCTCAGAAATATAAGACTCATAATAGGATGACATTATAAAAACGCTAGTAGCATTAGCTGTAGAATGGGGGGGGTTTTTTTTTTTTTTTTGCGTTTTTTAGCTTTTTTGCTTTAGCTTTTTTCAGCGTTTTTTAGTGTTTTTCAGCATTTGCGTTTTTTTTAGCAAAGTTATACTACCACAAAATCTTCAGGCTCAAAAAGGCTCATAAATGCCGGATAGCCTCGTTTTTTTAGTTTTTCAGCTTTTAGCCCTCATGCACACTTGACATTTTTACAGCTACTGTTTTGGCTTTTGATGTTTTTTTTCTACAGCCAGTAAACTCCCCAGCATGTTATCCTGTATCCATGCACACATAGACTGTAATCAATGTTTTTTGGCTGGAAACCCCCCCCCCCCCCCCCCCCAGAACTAGTGGATTTCTAGAGGAGGTTTTTAGCTGTAAAAACGCTCTAACTCTGAAAAACGCGGTAAAACGTCGCAAACCGTTTTTTTTGTACTTCCCCAAAATCTTTTTGGGTGTCAAAAAAGCTGAAAAAGACAAACATGGAAAAATGTGGTAAAACGCCGCTAATCCCAGCAAAACGCCACTAAATGCTAATGCAAAAATGCTAAAAAATGCTGGAAAAAAGCACGTTTTTAATGTGATTTTTACACAGCTAACATTACCAGCGTTATCAAAACATCAGCGTTTTTCAGGTTTTATCAGCGGTTTTTCAGCTTTTATCAGCGTTATAAAGCTAATGAACACATAGGATCAAAACATGCTGGGGAGTTTTTGGCTGTAGAAAAAAATGCCCAAAAGCCAAAAACAGCCGCTTTAAAAAAGTCCAGAGTGCATGAATCAAAAAAAGACTAAGGCTCCATGCACAGTGGGCATTTTAATAATGCTGGTAGCCATAGCTGTGTAACGTCATGTTAATAAACGCAAGTTTTTCAGCTTTTTTGCATTAGCGTTTAGCCGTGCTTTTTTCTGCGTTTGCAGTTTTTAGCGATTTTTAGTATTTTTTTTTTACAAAACATGTGTTTTTGCTCAAAAAAGTCCAAAAATGCTGGTTTGCTGTGTTTTATCATGTTTTGCCGCGTTTTTTACCGCATTGTTAGCATTAGAACATTTTTACACCTAAAAAATTCTCTCTAGAAACCCCTCTAGCTCCTGGAGTTATTTTTTTTTTTCCAGCCAAAAAATTCCTGCCAAAAAACATTGATTGCAGCCTATGCGTGGCATGGACACACAGGATAACATGCTAGGGAGTTTATTGGCTGTAGAAAAAAAATGCCAAAAGCCAAAAATAGCCGCTGTAAAAATGTCCAATGTGCATGAGGGCTAAGACAACAAAAACTGATAAAGACTGCAGCAAAAGCAGAGAGCACAGGAAGGTACCAGCCTATAAGATACATTGGGGTTGATTTACTAAAGGCAAATAGAGTTTTTACTTTACAATTGCAGTTGCACCCTACATGATGATTTTTCCCCAGATCTTAATGAATGAGGCGAAGCTCTGCTGACTTCCATCATCCAATCATGTGCGAGCAATACAGTTTTTTTTCTCTTGCACATGATTGTGTATTCATTGCAAAGTAAAGTTTCACTGCATTCACTAAGTTCTGGGGAAGATTCTCTTGCAGAGTGCAACTATAGTTGCATATTGAGCATTTTTATTTAGTAAATCATCTAGCAAAATAAAAACATATTTTTTAACTTGGCAAACAGATATAACAAAACACTTTCAACTGTATATTTAACAAAATGGAGCCAATAAGGGAAGCCCATTGTTACGGTTTGCATACCCAGTTACTAGGGTAGCTTTAGGTTGTCTCCTTATGCATTCCCCTTACAGCATCCTTTCAGATCTAGGCAATTTCAACTAGAATGCAACATTAATTATTGGTTTAATTAGTTCATCAATCATGTTTTTTGAAGCATGAAAGTTTCTAATGACTTTGTTGCATTCTGAACCATACAGTAACTTTGACCTGTATACACAGTATACCAAACAACAGTACGACCAAAAATATTCTTTTATTTGTAGATGTAATGGGGTGACAGAACCACTTTATAGGTTTAGACAATTCAAGATGTCATCTTTCCTTTACAGATCAGCTCTACTGTGATGAAGGTAGAAGCGGTCTGCTGTATACAATTATATGGAATCTAGTGAAGCCCGTACTGTGTACACAGGAAGAGGACACACACACACACACACAGAATGGCTGTGAGAAAGTTCTCTAGTCTATTCAATAACTTACAACAGCTTTAGTATTTTATTTTATTTATTTATTTCATGTACATATATAGCACCATCAATTTACTCAGCACTTTACATATATATTGTACATTCACATCATTCCCTAACCCTCAAGGGGCACACAATCTAAGGTCTCTAACTTACATTCATATACTAGGGCCAATTTAGACAGGATCCAATTAACCTACCAGCATGTCTTTTGGAGTGTGGGAGGAAACCCACGCAGGCACAGGGAGAACATGCAAACTCCAGGCAGGAGGTGCTGTGGCTGGGATTTGAACCAATAGACCCTAGTACTGCCAGGTGGAAGTGCTAATCGTTTAACCACTGTGCTGCCCTGATAGTACAGCGAAAATGCTAGTAAACACCTCTTGAAAGTGAAAGTTTATAATAAAGCTTACCTGCTGGTACAAGGAACACCTCCTCAACGTGCACCATTTAGGAGATATTCACTGTCTATGCAGCCAGTGATGTCACCAGCACATACGCACTGCACTCTAAAGGAACGGCATACTGAGTATGAATACCTTCAGAGAGCTGTGCCACGATCATGGCTCCTGTGCTCATGCATCATTGCAGCTCACATACCTGAAAGGAAAACCAGGAGAAGATGGAAGTCATGTCAGTGGTGACAGTGTGCCACTGGACAGCTTTCTCATATGAAGAAGAAAAATATATTTGAAATATATTTTAAAAATACTCTTCCCAGATATATTGTCATATATTTGAAATGCTACAATTGTGGCCATATTCAATATATTTCAAAATATATTTCAATAAATATATATATATATATATACACAGTATATATACAGTATATATATATATATATATATTGTATGTTGAAATGCATTTATATTACAAAATATATGAAAAGTATTTTTAAAAATACATTTCAAATATACAGTAAGTCTTTAACCACTTCCCGACTGGCCGTTGTATATAAACGGCCGGACGGTGGCACTGCAGGGTCGGGTGGCCCGGGAGTGCGCAGCACCGCAATCCTGTCCCCGCTGTGTCCTCCGGACACAGTGAAACACCGATCGTCAGACGGGACCTCTGTACGAGGTCCTGATCATGTGATCACTGATTGGCCAATCAGTGATCACATGCAAAGTATAAGCAAGATGTCACTTCCTGACATCATTGCTTACTACGTGTGATCACAGAGGTCACATGGTACAAGGCTATTCACAACAGCCTTGTACCATGTGACAAGCTGTGACCAATCACAGCTCACTCAGTAGTTCTCAAAGGCTGCAAGAATGCAGACAGAGAGAAAGAGAAATGATTGCTTTTACATCCTATATGGGTGTAAAAGCAATCAGTGAAAAAAAAAAAAATCTTCATCACCCCCCATAAGTAGTACAGTGTCACCATGGTGACACTGTACTGCTAGGGTGACAGTATGTAAAAAAATAAAATAAAATAAATAATAATAATATAAAAAAAAAATAAAAATGTAAAAAAAAATGTTTAAAAATTATAATTTTTGGTTATAAACTAATTTGGCTTATTTTTTTTTTTACTAAAAAGATAACGGAATACATTTTGGCCAAGATTTATGATGAACTATTATTTATTTGCAAAATGTTATAAGAACAACACTTTTTTTCAAAATTTTTGGACATTTTCATTTACATAGCAAAATAAATAAAAATCCCAGCGGTGAATAATTACCACCAAAATAAAGTTTTATCTGTCTCAAAAAAATGGTAAAACATTCATATGGGTACAGTGTTGCATGACCGCGCAATTGTCATTCAAAGTGTGATAGCGCTGAAAGCTGAAAACTGCCCTGGTCAGGAATGGGGTAAAAGTGTCCAGACTGGAAGTGGTTAAAAATACAAATCTAAATTTTTGGAATGCATTTACAAATATATGTAATTAGTGTCATTAGTACAGTGTCAGTGCTTTTTATTAGCACTGATCACTGTATTAGTGTCATTGGGATGTCAGTGGCAGTTAGTCAGTCCCCCCCAGTGTCAGAATGCCCGCCGCAGTCCCACTATTCCTAAGTCACTGATTGCCACCATTACTAGTGTAAAAAAAAAATTCCAGTATATACCACCATTTGTAGACGCTATAACTTTCACATAAACAAATTAATATACACTTATTGGGATTTTTTTTAGCAAAGACATGTAGCAGAATACTTTTTGGTCTAAATTTATGTAGAAATTTGATTTTTCACATTTTTATTGGATATGTTTTATAGCAGAAAGTCAAAAATATAGATTTTTTTTCAAAATTTTCTGTCTTTTTTTTTGTTTATACCATAAAAAAATAACAAAATGCAGAGGCGATCAAATACCACCAAAAGAAAGCTCTATTTGTGGGAAAA